TAATTTATCAAAGCCATTAATTTTGTTGTTTTCCATTAAAATTGTTAATATTGCTTTCTCCTTTTCCAGTAATTTTTTTGTTCTGCTTCTCCTGACTTTCGATGATTTTTCCGTCATATATATTGGACAGATGTTAAAAATGCATGGATATGCATCGTCTTTTAACATTGGAAGTTTTCTCGGAATTCTTAAAATTGCCCCATTTGTATCCATGTATACATCTTCGCAAAAATTGTACTTTTTGCTCTGTATGCGCTAAAATGTTTCATATTATGTCAGCATATTAATTCAAATAAATTCATCCTTACTTAAAAAATAAAAAATAGTCATCTTTTAGCAGTGAAATAATTGCTAACATGTGATTTGCATTGATTTCAGAAATATAATTTTTTTTAAATATATAAAATGCATAACTACTTATAGAACATAAAATACAACTTACTTTATAATTTAGTTTCATTTTTAAATATTTTGCTATAATATTTATTAAAAAAAATATTTTAAGTATTAATTATTTTTCAAAATTTAAACAATAATTTATCATGTATTTTTAGTACTAATTAAATTTAATAATTCAAGTATTTATATTAAATTTATATTTCATTAGATGAATCTACCTTAGATTAATATATTTAGATGAAATAAAGTAGTGAAACATTGCAAAATAAATCTTATGCAGACTTCAGATTCTTGAAAAGGCAGATTTAGTCTGTTTTCATTCTAAAAGTAATGCTGATGAGCTATGAAAAAGATGCTAAAATGACCACGTCTTAAAGCGGTCATATCATGACTTTTCAACGACGTCAACAAATGGCCAAGATGCAATGGCAAATATTTTGCATCTTCGCAATGTTGTAAAGACGTTGTAAAAGTTACCATGACCACTTTGCAACCTCTCTGACCAGTTTGTAACGTGTGTACTAGTTGGGGGGTACATCATAGTTTTTGAATTTTTTGCAACATTATGTATCGGACATTTGTCTATTCAGAAGCCCCAAAAATGTAGACTAAAGTTAAAATATGTATTTAATAGTTTATGCCCGTTTGTTTGGCTGTTATTAAACTTCTGCAGAATCCCAAACTTTCAGTCAGTTTGCATAAAGAACACGTGGCATTCATATAGCAACATAAAAATTTATGCTGTCACCCATGGAAGTTAGAATTGGCAACCTTTGTTCTGATCAAAGGCAGCATTTTAAATGCTAAAAATTTTTCAAATTGACATGAAAAACTGCAAAGAACCAAGTTTCTACCACTTTTAGATGACTTAAGTTTAACTAATAAATAATCTGTTCAATAAAGAATAAGAATGATTCTTCCCCAAAAAAGGGTTTTTGTTCTAGATTGTAACTGCTAATGATCTAATGAATCTAATTTCAAAATAATTATCATTAATTGAAGTATTCTTCTAGATATGTTTCTTTCAGTCATCAAATATGTGCTTCAGGCAGTTTTCATGCAAGTATAAGATGAAGGCATCTAATTTATGTTAGATAAGAAATAAATTCAATTTATTTTTTAGCAGATACTCTGTTATGATGTTTGTGGATTGAGCATGTGTTTTATCTTGATGAAGGCACATATAAGAAGGATGCATTTCTGGATGTTTCTTATGCTATGATGTGGTAATTCAATCTGAAAAGACCTTGAACCAGTGAAATGTTGTATGTCTGTATTTGTTTTCTGGAGCATTTCATAGTGTTTTTTTATAGACTGATAGCTACTATTAAATTGTCAATTTTGCCAGAGATGAAAGCACAAGGGAAACTTTGTTGCCAAGTTAAGACCCACAACCTCCCAAAAAAGAGGCTTTTAAATGAAAAAATTTTGAGGGAAATACATATGAAAAAGGAGCTTATTTTATTTCTAAAAATACATATTTCTACCTAAAACAAAAGTTATAGTTTATTTTTCATGTGACCATAAGGCTGCTGTCAGGAATGTTGCAACAGACTAATGTGATGCCTCTGGGGCTTTACAAGGCACTTGAGCCAATGTCTAGTTCAATTACCATTTGATAAAGTTAACATTACTATGCATTCTTATCTGAATGTATGTTTCTTTTAAGGGAATAATATTGTGATAATTAACAGTAGTTTGCCCATGACTCTTTTTCATTTATGTTCTTACTATAACTGCTTTCTTCGGAAACTGAATTACTCACATAATTTTCCCCTCTTGATTTTCATACAATAACGTGAGTTAAGAAAAGGTGAATAGTACACGAGGAAATACTGGCTGAATGATAAATTTTCTGTCTGTTTTCAAAATTTTAGCCTCCAGTAATAATTTTAGTGATATCTGATTCATAGAAGTCTTACAATTAAATATTTTAAAAAAACTGTTATTCTTTCAGTCAAGAATTAGCATTATTCTTTCAATTTTATTTCAAACTTTAGAAATGAGATTTACTACTTCAGAAATTTTGAGTTTCTTAAACAAATCACAAATTTTTCTTTAAGTATCAGTTAAAGAATATTTTTGGAGGACAGCATGTGGATAATCTGCAAACCAGATAATTGGAGTTCAGAATATTAATGGCTTTTCATTTTGGTAGAAAAAAAAAAAAACAGTAATTTTAAACATAGTAAAAGAATGACTCTTCCAAAAACTCAGGAAATGTCAGATACATGAAAATTCCAAAATTTAGTCTAGCGTATCAAAATTTCAATTCAGGGGTGAAAACCAAATGAATGGAAGAAGAAATTTCCTGTCTAAAATTATAAAAACAGTCATCTTATTTCTTAGGTACTTTAATATCAAAATCCTACATTTACTTAATATTGTAAGATTTTTTTTAAAGTGCATTTTAGACATAAATACTGACATAGTTTCATAAGCCTTAAATATCTGATTGGATTATAAAATTGTGTTGACTATGAAATTTGCTGATTTCATTAAGCTTGTGCTAGTCTTTTCAGCAGAATTTTGAAGGAAGTGACTTTTTTTTTTTTTTTTTTTTTTTTTTAGTCAGTCTTTATTTAATTAGATAATCAAAAAATACAAGTTAAGAATATAGCATATAAAAAACATCAAATTATTTGTGGTAATTTTTCACATTGCATTGCAGTTGTTTCTATTTTCAAGTGAAGTCACATATCATGCTCATTAATGCACATTCCTAATGCCAGGATTCCATAATTTTAGAAATACGCCATTGCATATTGTTCAGTTGAAGGCAGATCCCAAATTTTAAATTATATTCTTCTGTGCAAAAATTAAACCTACTTATGAAGTTTACATAAAGCGAAGATGAAGATCTTTTGTTTCTATTGTCATTTATGCACTAAATCAAACTGTTTCACGACAGTTTTTGTTTGTCAAAAATTGTTGATGTCAAACATACTGGTGAGAGTAGTTCTCACAATAGTTAGAATAAAAGCACGTTGTGAACTCTGGTGGTGTGGTGTATTTAATTATGGCAAAGCATACTAGGGCTATCTGCCTAAGGGGAGAGATGCCTTCGTGGAGGACTTTCTAAGGGAAACTGGCTCGTATACACGTTACACATGGGGAAAACCACGAAGACACCCATGCAGCCACCCCGTTCGCGGGATTCGAACCTCGGACCGAACTACCAGTGTTCAGCGACTTTACCACTCGGCCGCAGGTGTGCTGTGAACTCTGGAACCTCTCATATGTTCCTGTGCCATATAGATATAATGATAGGATAAGTATAATCAGCATCTCAAAGATAGCCAGGGGTATTTACATTTTAGATACTAAAAGCAGAATTTTGAATCTTAATCATAAGCATTATTTATGATGGCTTTGCAAGTCTCTCATTTGCTTAATTTTTCATTAAACTGTGTGAGCTTTCTGTTTACATGAATGCTGGATAGTTGAGCTTTTAACTGTATTTATTAATTTTTATTATGGTTAGACTTCACATCTTTAGTTTATTTGAGCATTGAGTTTTTATTGACAAAATAATTTATTTTAGAGATCAGTTACAAAGTAATTTTATTACAGAGTGTTATAGTAAAATTTATTGCAGTATAGTCATGTTGAAATTTATAATTAAAAATCCCCTCTTAGATATAAATCTTCATTTCAGAATATGAGAAATACATTAGTCTGTTTTAATGAAAAATTTGATTTTTTCCACTATAAAGTAGCTTGTGCCAGTTTTCTACAGAAGGGTATATGCATTTACATTGCCTGTTGACCAATATTAAAATTAAATGTGCTCCTGTTCTCTGTTTTAAAACTGTTTTCAGAATACATATTATCAATAAAAAGTTTTTAAATACAGTCATAAGTCTTTAATCCAGACGTCCATAAACCGGAATGATCTGTAATCCAAACCTCAAAGCTACAAACTTTCTGCGCATGCATTTAAATGCGTTTGCGCATGCGATTTTAATGTATAATGGACAGTATAAGCTAAGCTAAAATTATCTAATTATCTATTTCAGTTAATGTTAAAGTAAACAAATAAATATTAAGCTTTTTTTGTAAATTTTGATACCCTTTAGATCATAATTGCTCTTTATTTCATAAATTACAGTTTCATATTTTTAATTTTATAATTTCTTCATGCCATCTTACCAGATTTAAACTGATGATCTATAATCCGGAAAAACTGATAATCCGGAATCGCCGAAGCCCCGAGAGTCCGGATTAAAGACTGTATGTCATTTTGTTTTATTCTTTGTTTATTGAAAAACTACATTTATGCTTAGAAAAATATTTTGCCACTGTTAATAAAAAGTGAAAATAAAAGTATGTTTCCTTGATGCATATATCGTTCTAAAGAAAATTGCTCGCCACTTATTATCCTATAATGAGAAAAGATCCAAACATTAAAATTTTTATTGGCAATAAAAGGTAAAAAATTTTATAATTTTTCCTCCTATTTTCAGTTGTTTTCATAATGTTATTTTTGTGATCTTTTTATTATTCTGTTTGTTTTTGAACAACAATTAAAATAATTGTTTAAAAATATATTAAATAAAAATATTCTTGTGATTTTCCTTTCTGCTCAATTTATATTTTAGGTCATCGTAGATCTAGATCTTGTGATTCCCCTCAGTGGAAGTCTCCAGATAGTGATGTTAAAAATGACAGTAACCTTCTTATTTCAAATGAATTAACTAATAGAAACATCAGCAAAAATGGTTTGTAAATTGTTATCAGAATTCTTTTAAATTTATCATATCTCTCCATTTCTCAGTTTAAAGAAAGCTTTTTTGTATATTTTTTTATGGTTTATTATAATTTGTAATAATTTATCATATTTTGCATATGTACATTTCAAGCTATCTTTATGCTTTATCTCTCCTGTTTACTGGAAGCATATTATTAAGAGTTTATTTTATCTTCATCTCTACATATAATAAAAGAAAGAGTGTGTCTGTGTGTCAGTGTGTATGTCTTTCGTTCACGCTGCGCGTAAGCTAATAGACCCACGGCTACGAAATTGGTAAGTAGGTGCACCTAGACAAGAGCCAGTGCACCTCAAAGCGATTTTTTTCAAAATTCGAATCAGATTTTTTTTTTTTTTTTTTTTTCTTTTATGTTTTATGACGAAATTGCATCATCTTATAGTGGGCTATAGGAAAGCGAGATTTTACCCTACACACTCGATTTTCACATCATCATGAAACGTAGGCACTTAGCTATTTTACGAACTTAAAATAAATTTCGTGTTTCAATAAATCGATTAAATACAAATTTATTTAATAAAGTGAGCTTAACATCTTTTCAATGGGATTTTTTCTAAAAAAGTTTATTTTTAAGAATGTACAGTTTATTTTTCTTTGATTTTTGGACATGTTAAACTTTCATCCTTGTGACTACTGCTTTTACAAAAAGAATTTTGGAAAAAATGATAATATTTTGTAATTTAAAAAAAAAAAAAAATTTAATGAAGCTTCCGAGTACACTTCTCATGTCTCACATCTTTAAAAATATGACTTTGGTTACAATTTTCCTTTCTTTTTGTTATTGATAGATTTTTGATGAAATCACATCATTTTGAATAGTTTCATTCTTTTAGAAATATGGGTTTGGCAACAATTTTTCATCGTATTTCATATGTCACTGTTTTTAAGAGATTGGCATATTTCATTGTCATTTTTTTATATATATAATAGGAAGAAATATTGTAGAGAGCTCGCTAAAAAGTTACCAGGAGCTCTGGCTCCAAGAAATAGTTCAACGCAGAATTTTTTTAAAAATTAACATGGAAGTAATTTTTAAAATATTAACATGGAAAGGTGAAAAAACAGCCTACACGCGAAATAAAATACAGAACAAAAAACTGTTAAAATCAATTGTTGGAAACATGTGAATGCACAAAAAAAAAGAGAAAAACCTATCGATGTGATATGTGTTAAGTTAACACTTATAAAAAACTGATCGACGGAACAAGTTAAAACAAAATTAAAACATAAAAATAAAACATAAATTGCAAAAACTAAAATGATAAAAATTACAAAGAGGAAAATGGTAAATTAGCCCAATTGGATCTCCAACCAGGCTTTACAAGGGAAAATTAGTTGAATGTCGAATCAAGCTAACACCATTACGCGTTTCGTCAAAACAGACAATTGAAGCTCTTGTTTGACGAAAAAAAATTTTTAAATAAAATGAATTGACCCGAAAAAATCTTTTTTGGAGCCTCAATTTTCTGTTCCATTTTCCCGACGGGTCCGCAAAAAAAACACATTAAGGTGTAAGAAATAGTAAATGCAACACCGAGCAAATTAAAATTAAAATAAAATAAATAGCGGTCTGCTATTAGTCAAATTCAGTAACGTACGGGCTGGTCCTGCTAGCTTAGAGAATAAGACCTTTATAAATATTATGGTTCTGAAATCAAAATCTAAAGAAATTAAATACTAATGAAAACAAACGTCGTGGGTCTTGCTAAGACCAAGAAAAAGATTTTAAAAAACAGACCTGTGGCTGAGCCGTCCTCCTGATCGCGAAACATATTTAAAAAGGGATGTAATCCCCTCCGAGTCGTACAAAGCCAACCATCTCGTCGTGTGACGTAGGCGAGTGAAACATTTCATATCAGCCAATGCGATTAGATTGTACTTTGGATGTCATTTCGTATCAGCCAATGTGATTAGATTGTACTTTGGACACTTTACTTATAAGCTTTTCAATTTCTATTGTAATTATATACATATATATATAAAGTTGTTCTGCCGAGTAAAATTCTGCACAGAATTTTTTCAGTTTCTTTCATGTTATTTTTTGCTTATTTCACTATTTTAAGATATTGAAAAGTTTTGCATGATTTTTTTTTTTCTTCAACGGAAAGTTGGTTAATTTTTTTATTAGGATAATTAATATTTGTATTAAGGGATATAGCTTATTTCTTTGTAATTTTTTTCTTTTTAAAAATATAAGATAAAATATCATTAATTATACTTTGCTTTCAGAATTTTTTTGTTTTTTGTATTCTTTTATGTTGCTCATTTCGCTGTCTTTTAATATATTGAAAAGTTTTGAGTGATTTTTTTAGGAAACAAAGTTCTTAACCTCCTTTATACCATTTGAGGTCTTAAGATTGTGATACTTCTTTGGCAATATGAAGCAACTCCAATGATGGAACACAGAAAAAACTTTATTTAGCACTCAAAATGGCGACATACCAAAAGAAGAAAAAAAAATTCTAACATTTAAAAATAAATTACATTCTTCGTGCGAGAGTCGCACGTGGCACTCGAGTCTGGTTTCAAATATTTCCATTCACAAATACCTTAATGTTCCTCTATTTAAATTATTTTAAACTACAAGATTTTAATAATATTTAAAGCTGTTACAACCTCTCCCCCAACAGAGAGACTTTTACCGAAGGGTAAAGTTCTGTAAAATTCGAAAGTTTACAAGCTCGGCTTGCTCAATTGCTTAAAGAGAAAAGGTAACTTCTCTCATAAGTTTCCAAATTTCAGGCCAAAAATTGTAAGTTTTAAACAAATACTTTTACACCATATTTAAATAGAAAGAAATGGAGAATGTTCAAATACATCAGTTGAAAATACATTAAATAATAAAATAAATTCTAAACGTGGTTACATATACTAAGAGTTATTATATTACTTAATTCTACTCAGAACATCTACGTTCTTGTGCAAAAATCCTTTCCGATGAATGACCTTAAAATTATAAGGTTGTAATGAGAGTGCCCAGTGCATCAATCCAGAGTTACATTTGGCATTGGATTGTAGCCAGACCAAAGAGTTATGATCAGTTTGAATCAAGAATTCTTGCTGACCATCCAGATAAAAATGTAGTTTCTTGATAGCGTAGATGATAGCAGCACACTCCTTTTCAGTAGTACAATAATTCTTTTCAAATTTAGTATATTTTTTGCTTATATACAAGATAGGATGTTCATGTTGTTTATCATCTAATTGGCATAGTACTATACCCATGCCATTGTCTGAGGCATCGGTTTGTATAATAAACCTTTTATCAAAGTTGGGAGCATACAGAATTGGTTTCTTGCATAGCAACTCTTTTAAATTTTTAAAAGCTTTGTCACATATTTCAGACCATTGTATATTTCCTTTTTTTGTTACCCCCTTCAAAGCGTCCGTGAGGGGTGAAGCAATTTCCGAAAATCTCGGTATGTACTGGCGATAATACCCTACTAGTCCTAAGAAAGCACATACTTCTGTTTTGGTTTTAGGTGTAGAATACTCCTTTACAGCCAGGATCTTTCTTCATCCGGGGTTCGTTGTCCTTGTCCCACAACATGGCCTAGGTATCTCACTTGATCTTGTGCAAATTTACATTTTGATGGTTTTAGTCGTATGTTTGCTTTCTGTATTCTCTCTAGAACAGAAGTTAGGTTTTTAAGGTGCTCTTCCCAGTTTTCTGAGTAAATGGCAATGTCATCCAGGTGCAGCCAGTATGGTACAGCGAATCCTTCGCATCCAGCCAGGACTTTAGTCATAACTTTGCTTAAAAAATATGGGGCATTTTTTAATCCAAAGGGTAAACGTAGAGGCCTGAAACTTCCAAAACTAGTTACAAATGTTGCATATCTTTGGGCTCTTTCTGTTAACGGAATTTGCCAGTAGCCTCTAGATAAATGTAATATGGTAATATATTTTGCTTTTGCTACAGTTTCGATACGTTCTTCAATATTAGGCAAAAGATAGTATTTAGTTTTAGTAACAGCATTGAGTTTACAGTACATTGAATCAGTACAAGGCCGAGGATCCTTTGATGAAGATTCTATCAAAATCATGGGAGATTTATAGTCCGGTTCTCCCGGCTCTATAATTTTAAGATCGAGCATTTTCTGGATTTCCTTTTTGAGAATTTCAGTCTGTCGGGGCAACAGTCTGTATGGCTTTATTTGTATTGGTTCATTATTTAATAACTCAATATGGTGACAAACTAAGTTTGTTAGTCCAGGATTATTTGAAAAACAACCAGAATATTTTCATAAAACCTCTCGTAAATCTTCTATTTGCTCGGGTTTCAACCTATTCTCGAGTTCATTCTCCTCTATGATGTCCGAGAAATTTAATATACTTGGATTGGAAGATAGATGAGGAATGTCCATTTCTAAGTCTCCTTCCACTTCAGTTATCATATTAATCATTTCTGGTCTTTTGTAATATGGTTTAAGCATGCTAATGTGATATACTTGATTTGGCTCATTTTGTTTCTCGAAACTTACAATAAAATTGGTTTCTGAAATTTTCTGCTCTTTTTTTCCAAGTCCTTTCCATTGTACTTCTAGTTTACATTGATGATTCGTTGATAAAACAAGAACTAAACCTCCTCTAGCAAATTCCCTTTTCACTGTGTTTTGATCGTACCATGTTTTCCTCCGTTGTTGAGCTTCTTTCATGTTTTCCAAGGCAAGTTCTTGGCATCTCTTCATTTGATTAATAAGTTCGAAAATGTAACTGACAACATTATTACTTTCTTCAATCGGTTCTAGCCACTGCTCATAAAGTGACTGGCGTTCGTAGGTTTTTGCCATGAACTAATTCTGCTGGAGTAAAACCAGTGCTTTCGTGTGTGACTGTTCTGAGAGCAAAAAGAAGATGGTAGATAATTCTCCCAATCTGAAGTCGCTCCTATACATACGACTCTTAACACCCTTTTTAGCATTCTATGGAATCGCTCAACAGGATTACTC